CAGTAAGTGTTTGCAGGATGAATGAATAAATCGGGCTCCGGCCACAGAGCTGCCTGGCTGTAAGGAGGCTGTTCCCCTGGCTCAGGTCCCGCCTGTTCAAGGTTCTGTGACTTTGAATGAGCTCTGCCAAGCCTCCTACTCTGCTGACAAAGGCTCGGTTATGCTTCACCCAAAAGCTGCTGGGGAAAGTTACATAAAGGGGTGGGGGGAGAGAGGCGGGAGGGGAAGGCACCTGGGTTCCCACCTCCCTCTCCCTTCCTCCATCGCCCCACCCACTCCTATTATTGGGATACCCCTCTTGCTTCCTCAGAGGAGCCTGGGTTGAGAAAATGGACTCAGGCTGGCCCTTGATTGGTCTTGGACTTGGGTTCTTGGCTCAGGGTGGAGTGGCAGTACGAGGGGCAGGCAGGCACAGACTAGGGACTCAGCTTTGGGAGGAGGGGGGCAGAGGGAGGACCAAAACCAAACTGTCAAGTCGATTCTGACTCATAGCGACCCTATAGGACATAAATCTTTATGGAGGCAGACTGCCACATCTTTCTACTGTGGAGCAAGTGGTGGGTTCAGACCGCTAGCGTTTTGGTTAGCAGCCAGGTGCTTAATCACTTTGCCACCAGGGCTCCTTAAGGGGAGGACAAACACAGGGTAATGACTCAGACTTGTCCCTCCTAGTGACAGACCTGTGTTTCTAGGACTGTTGGTTCCTTATTCAGGTCTGGAAAATTCTCTCTGATTATCTCTTGGAAAATTCTTTCTGTGCCTTTATTATTATCATAATGCTCTGCAATTCCAAAAATTCTAACGTTAGATTTCTTAATTGAATCCCACATTTCCACTTGGTTTTGTTCGGTTTTCTTTGTTCTTTTCTCTTGTTTCTCTTGAGATTTAGTAAGTTCAGTTACTCTGTCTTCCAGTTCCCTTAGTCTACTTCTGTCTGCTTGAATCTATTGTTGAATGTTTGTTTAGGCCTATTGGACCCCCTGTCTGCTCTCTTAGGGGTTGTATTGGGTCATCTACTGAGACATGATTTTGTCTCTGGGTGGCACAAACGGTTCAACACTCGGCTATTAACTGAAAGCTTGGTGGTTTGAACCCACTCAGAGGCCCTCGGAAGAAAGCCCTGGAGATCTGCTTCCGAAAGGCCACAGCCTTGAAAACCCTATGGAGCAGTTCTACTCTGCAGACGTTGGGTCGCCACGAGTCAGAATTGACTTGACAGCAATTTTTTTTTTTTTTTAAAATTAGTTTCCTAGGCAGGGCAGCTATAACAAATGACCACAAAGTGGGTGGCTTTGTGTGTTCTCTTACAGTTCAAGGGGCCAGGAATCCAAAATCAAGGTGTCGGCAATTCCAGTGCGGTGCATCTATGGAAAACTGAGCCTATGGCAGTCAGTTTTAAATTGCTGGATGATCTCTCACAGCCGATAATGGAAACTTCAGCGGCCAATAGAAACTGTTCATTGGCACCCCCTCAAGTGGCGCCCAGGCACACGCAATACCTCCCATACCCAGATACGCCTCACAGTTGTTCCTTCTGTTACTGGGTGGAATCCCCAGGTTCTTGCTCAGCATGACTCATATTGGCCAGTAAACGAGAGAAAGGAAAGGCAACTTTATTTGGTTGCACAAGGAGAGGAGTCAGTGGGAGCTGCCGCTGCCAAGACTGCTCCCTGAGGGAGAGGAGAAAAGCTACTTTTAAAGGGTTTACAAATAAAGGTTCATACAAGTTACGTTAGCAACATTCTTAATCATACTACGCAGGCACGATGGGGTTTACGTATAACTTCAAGCAAAAGCAGGATTTAAATGCAAAGCTGTGGCGAGGAAGCCCAGCAAAGGAAAAACGAGTTTTAATGCAACACTGTGGGAGTTCTGTCTCACTTCTGGAGGCTCTGAGGGAGAATCTGTTCCATGCCTCTCTCCTAGCTTCTGGTGGCTGCTGGCAATCCTTGGCGTTCCTTGGCTTGTAGATGTATCACTCCAATCTCTGCCTCTGTCTTCACATAGCCATCTTCCCTCTGTGTCTCTCTGTCTCTGCCCTCCCTCTCCTGTCTCCTATAAGACCACTGACTGCATTTAGGGCCCACCCTAAATCCAGGTGATCTCATCCCAAGAGCCTTAACTATAGCCGCAAAAACCCAATTTCCAAATAAGGTCATATTCACAGGTTCTGGGGTTATGACTTGGACATATATTTTGGGGGACACAATTCAACCCACTACAGGGGTCAACTTTATTGAGGTATAACTTACATACGATAAACTGCATCCATTAAAGCGTACAACTGGATAAGTTTTGGCAGCTGTATACAGCCATGAAACCACCACCATAATCGAGATATTCCCATCACCCTGAGCCTGCTTATGTACAACCAAACACCTCACGGGATTTAGTTCCTTGGTTTGGAGGTTTAGGGTCATGGTTTCATGGGACATTCCTATTAATTGGCCCTAATAAAGTGTTCAGTGCTTTTATCCTACCTCCTAGTTCATTGTGTAGTGCCTGGGGTCATAAAAGCTTGTAAGCGACCATTTAAGGTACAATTGGTCTTTGTTCCCCCAGAGGAACAGAGGAAGAAGGACAGTCAGGAATAGGAAGAGGATATGGAATGTGTGGCTAATTGCCTCCATGAACAACTGCCTCCTATGCCATGAGACCACAGGAACTGGATGGTGCCCAGCTACCATTACTGAAAGTTTTGATCAAAGATTCTATAGAAAGAATCCTGATCAAAGGGAAAAAAGTGCAGAACAGAATCTTTCAAATTCTCACAGACTCCAGACTGTCTGGAGCCATGGAGGCTGGATGAACACCTGAAACGATTGCCCATGGCAGCGAACAACACGACCACCATGGCCAGACCCGTATGAGTGTCCACGCCGAGAAAGTCCTCTTCACTCTTTTGAAATGAAGCTTTTAAATAATATAACTGGTCTTCACGTGATTTTGAAAAACAGTCTCTATATTGTCCTAACTATAATCAAAAGGAGACATTAAAGGACAGTATGTGTAACATGCATTTCAATATGCGAATGAATGGGGCACATCCCCATAGCACCAGGAAGTAGCCGGGCATGTACACTTCCAGTGTAGGCAGCTCCAGACACAGGTTCCAGGGCCACCTGGAACGTGATTTTTGGAAATGGTGGGCAATCCTCAGCCAAGTTTCAAACAAAACACTGTACAAACTTCCCTCAGATAACACAGTAGTTGCATTTCCTGGAAAATTCAAAGCCTATTTAAAAAAAATAAGAAAACTTACGAAAAGGACTTAGTGTTTACATGAAGAGGGAGTTAGGTTCCGGGCACTGATAATTATTACCAGGTGTTTCACCTCCAAGTAGGGCTAAAAGTCAGTCGGAATGCACTGGTATGGAGATTGTTACTGTGTTAGCTGCCAAGAGGCTGGCCCCAACTCATGGCCATCTCATACATAAGGGAACGAAACGCTGCCTGGTCCTGCACCCTCCCCATGATCAGTTGTGGATGGGACCATGGTGGTCCATAGGGTTTTCATGGGTGGATTTTTGGAAGTAGATCTCCAGGCTTTTCTTCCGAGTCCATCTTAGCCTGGAAGCTCTGCTGAAACCTGTTCAGCATCATAACACGGAAAGCTCCACTGATAAATAGGTGTTGGCTGCACGAGGCGCATTGACTGGGAATTGAACCTGGGTCTCCTGCTTGGAAGGCGAGAATTCTACCACTGAACCACCACTGCCCCCCAGTATAGAGGTACTGATTGTTAGATATTGAAATACCTCTGATCTGGCTGGCGAATAGTACAAGTGTAATTGTGGAAGCAGCAGAATTCATCAATAATATGTGTTCTAATATAAACTCGTTGTTGTTAGGTGCCTTTGAGTTGATTTTCAACTCACAGCAATATCATGTGACAGAGTAGAGCTGCCCCATCATGTTTTCTAGGCTGTAATCTTTACGAGAGCAGATCGCCAGGTCTTTCTCCCACAGAGCTGTTAGGTGGGTTTGAACTGTCAACCTTTCAGTTAGCAGCTGAACACTTAATTGTTGCACCACTAGACGCAACACGTTAATTGCTGTAATGGGTTTTCTGTCATAGCTTAACTTTGTCAATAATATTACATAAAACTATCAGACAGTATTTTATGGGCTAGAAAAGTTCTTCATGTAATCACCATTAGTTCAGGAGCAGCTGAGAGAGAATAAAACACCAAAACAATATGCTTGATGCTAACAGAAACTCTCTATTGAGACCTCAAGTTCCCTAATGAGTCCCAATTTAATGAGAAGTTGCTGGAAGCATTTGATGTTGTTGTCTGTATCAAAACCCAGCACAGGTAGTCTTGGTGTGCAGCTAGTAACGGCTGGTGTCAATCAAAAGATCACAACAACAATTTCTGTTGTCATCAATTCTGACTCATGGCGACCCCATGTGTGACAGAGTAGAACTGTTCTATGGGGCTTTCTTGGCTGCAATCTTTTTTTTTCTTACTTTATTTTGTTGTTAAGAATATACACAGCAAAACGTACACCAATTCAACCATTTCTACACGTGCAATTCAATGACATGGATTACATTCTTCAAGTTGTGCAACCAATCTCACCCTCCTTTTCTGACTTGTTCCTCCCCCGTTAACATAAACTCACTGTCCCCCAAGGTTTCTATCTAATCTTTTGAGTTGCGGTTGTCACTTTGATCCCATATAGGTGGTTCTTAAGAGGGCATAATGCTTAAGGCAGAGATTGCCTGTAATCTTCAGGGAAGCAGATGGCCAGGTCTTTCTCCTGTTGGGTGGGTTCAAGCCTTACCAGGTATAAAATATTCTTAACATTCCCCTTCCTTCAGGAATGTTCAGTGGAGCATTTGAAAATGGGATGAAACAAGGCATCATACTTCATTTTTAGGGGCTGCCCTTCATATTGGAAGCCACCTCCATCCAACAGCCAAGAGCTCTACCCAGCCACTGCCACAACCCCAAACACCCCCGTACATTTCCAGTATGCTCCTCAGGGACCTGGCAATCTCTTCGTGAACGATTTGTGGGTTCAGTGGTTAAAAGCACAGGCTGGGCTACAAGAAGCCAGGCTCTGGCAGTCTGAGCCTCAGGAGACTAGCCCAATACTCATCCTTGCTTGCTGGGCTACGAAGTGTCTACTGCTTCAAGGAATTTACACTTTGCACGTACGAGCTATCCAAATTCTCCCGGCAATTCTGCGATATTACCATCCCCTCAGCTTATAGTTTCAGAGGCAGCGACTTGCCTATGATCAAAAAGGAAGGTAGTGGCCTGGCCAGGATTAAATCCAGCCCTGCCTCCTGATCCCATCACCGCTAAGTGCCTCACAGTCCCCAGGTGGGGTAAGCGTTCTCATTCCCCCCACCGTTCTCAGGTGTTATCAAGTCAATTCTGAGTCATATTGCAATGGGACAGAGTAGAACTGTCCAATAGGGTTTTCTAGGCTGTAATCTTTATGGGAGTGGATTACCAGGTCTTTTCTCCCTGGAGCGGCTGGTGAGTTCTAACCACCAACCTTTTGGTTAGCATCCAAACGCTTACCTGTTGTGCCACTAGAGATCCTCTCCCCAGATTCAAACAGGAGGTGCAGAGAGCCAGGGGTGACCCAAGTTCCCACTGGGAGGAAGCAGCAGCACTGGGGTTTGAACCAGGCCTGTCTCTTCAGAGCCTGTGTTTTTAACCAGTGGTCTCCAAAGGCAGGTGCACACACCTAAGGGGTGTGAGGACAAGTCACTGGGATGGGGCAACAAAACATAAGAGCCTCTACTTATATTTATTTTTTACTTTAAGATGGAATAATTTAAGTTTTATTATACCTAATATACAGACTGATGGTCGTGCATGTATATGAATCATAAATAATTATACACATACTGGGGGTATTTACTCTTACGTGCATGATCAAAAAAAGACGCCACTGCTTTCACCTGCTAAGTTGTCTGGCCTCCCAAAAGCCCCTCTTGTGTACCATTACTAGTTGCTATTAGGTGTCATCAAGTTGATTTCGACTCATGTCAACCCCATGTGACAGAGAAGAACTGCCCTTAGGATTTTCTAGGCTATAATCTTTATAGGAGCAGATTGCCAGGTCTTTCTCACATGGGGCCACTGGGTGGGTTCAAACCTCTAACCTTTTGGTTAGCAGATGAGTGCTTAACCATTGCACCACCAGGACTTCTTTACCATTACTAGAGGGGGGCATAAACCAGTGGCCGTCAAGTTGACTCCGACTCACAGTCACCCCAAGTGTGTCAGAGTAGAACTGTGCTCCATAGGGTTCTCAATGGCTGATTTTTTTCAGAAGTAGACCGCCAGGCCTTTCTTCCAAGCCACTTCTGGGTGAACTTGAACTTCCAACCTTTCTTTCAGTTAGCAGCCAAGCATGTTAACCATATGCACCACCCGGGGACTCCAAAGAGGGGCATAGTAGGTGAGTTAACAGTGTAGGCTCCATAGCCTGACAGTCTGGGTTCAAGTCCCTGCTCTGCCACTTCCTAAGCTGACCTTGTGCAAGTGACTTCACCATTCTGGCCTCAGTTTCCTCATCTGTAAGATAGGAATAATAGCAGCTCTCACCTCGGAGGCTTGAGGTGAGGGATAAATCAGTTAATCCACACACAACGCTGAGAACAAAGCCTGTACCCAGTAAGTGCTCACTAAGTATGAGCTATGATTATTGGTTACCACGACTTGTAAGTGGGGAAACAGGCGCAGAGAGCTAAAATGAGGTAACAGTTAAAAAGGAGTGGGGCCAAGATCCAGAGCCCCTGTTCTTCACCACAGCAACGCCTCAGAAAGGCTGCCCTCCTCTCCAAGAAGATTGCATTCCGCATCCCTCTGAAGAAAAAGGAGAGACGGTCATCGATGCCCCACCTTCCAGAGGGGCTTAGAGAGAAGACCAAAGGTTCAAGAGACGCGTTGGCTGTGGAAACAGGACCTGAGCTTATGGTTCCACCTGGCATCCCCACTGGGCCATTAGGAGCAGAATAGAGGCGCCCTCTAGTGGGCAAAACAATCTCAGCAGTCAAGAGTCCTGGCAGTTCACTGTGTGCTAGACACCGAGGGCACTCGCTGAACCTGGAGGAAATGGAAGCACTCGCCTAGGCCCACTTAACTAGCAAGTCACACAGGGAGGACCAGAATCTCGCAGCCTGACCCGGATTCCACACTCCTTCCCAACCCTGTGCAGGCTGTGCCCTGGGTTTCTGGAGCAGCAGATGCGGGTATCATTTCTTCATCCAGATCCCGGATGGAGGCCTCTTAGCATCTTTGGTGGGGGCTATGCTGGACCCTGCAGGGCGGCTTGGCATCCTGTCCCCGTCCACCAAATGCCAGTGGTACCCCAATTCCTAGGACGATCCAGGATGCACCTACATGTATCCATCGTTCACGAGCGGCAGGGCCACTTTCATTTGAGCATCTCAGCCTTGTTCTCGCCTCCAGCTAAAGCCAGCCTTCTCTCTTGTGCCCTTCCTATGATTTATGTATTTCTTTCTGTCAGTTTCTCTCCCCATTCCCACCACCCAATCAAACAAAGCTTCTCCACACCCAGAAAAACCCCAAAAGACAGCTTTCCGTGCCTGAATGCTCCCCTGACTTCAGCCGCCTCCTGCCAGGCTCCGGAGGGCCGGGTTGGGGTACTCGGGGTTCTCTATGACCCCAGGGCCGAACTTGAGCTCCAGGAAACGGCGGTAGTTGTTGGGTGCCTGGGCCACGAAGCCGGCGAAGGGCAGGGGCACAAGAGGCTGCAGGAAGTGCTCGGGGAACTCAACGTCCTGCCGGTGGTCCATCCACGTGTCCTTGGTCATGACGCCGTTACGGGGGTAGAACGGCCACAGGTCTACGTGCAGGTGGTTGCTCTCGCTGTACTGCACGCGGAAGAAGTCGCCCTCCACAGCCTTCTCCCACACGAAGCCCCGCTCGTCCACCACCGAGCCTGCCTCAGCCCCGCGCAGCTGCTCGCAGTTGCCCACATCCTCCAGGTAGATGCCCAGGTCCACGTCGTAGTCCCACGGGATGATGTCCCCGTGGCGGGCCGCGCCCAGCAGCGAGCCACCCTCCAGCCAATAACGCACTCCGGCCGCCTCCAGCACGCCCACCACGTAGTGGGCCGTCTCACGCAGCGCGCGCAGGCAGCACGGCGGCGTCCAGCGGTCCTCGTACAGGTAGGCCGGCGTGTCCCCCACCACCGTTCCGAAGCACCGCGTGGTCTCCTTACTGCAGCCGAACCACTCGAGCCGCCCGCCGTCCCAGCTGACCAGGCGGATTCCCAGCGTCCGCAGCAGCGCAGACCTCCGCGCGCGCTCCTCGCGCTCCGCCTTCCAGCGCGCGTGGGCCGTGGCCAGCGGGGGCTGGAGCGCGGCCGCGAAGGGCGGCTCCAGCAGCCGCACCGCCCAGCCGCGGAGAGCCGTTTGCAGGAAGAGGCTGGTGCCTAGCGGCCGGGCTAGGGGTGCAGGGAGGTTGAAGAGGTCGCGCGCACGCAGGAGCACCACGGCGTCCCCGTCCAGGGCATCGCAGCGGGGTGCAGCAGGGGCTGGGCCATAGCGGGCCGTCCACTCCCGCAGACTGACATTCAGGGCCAGGCACCGCGCGGGGTTGGCCGTGGCGATGGGGGCGGCCACCAGGCGGGTGCCTCCCGCCCGGAGCGCCTCCACCATGCGCTCTAGCTGGCCTGGTGCGTCAGCCCTTGCCCCATCAGGCACCAGGGCCACGAACTCGGTGGCCACGTAGGTCTCGGGACGGGAGGCAGCGGCGGGCCGGTCCAGGGCGGGCTGGAGCAGTGCCAGGTGGACGTTGGGGAGGCGGGGCAGGGCCAAGGGCGGGTAGGGGAGAGTGTCGGCTGCTACCACCACTGGCTGAGCTGGGTCCTGCTGCAGAAAGGAGTCCACTAGCTCGGGGACAGCGTTGTCAAAGGCCTCGAATTCCCGCACCAGGATGGTGACACGGGGGCTGGTGGCTGACACACGACGGGGGCCCCGTGCCCGGGAGTTCCTGGGCTGGTGCTGCAGCCATGAGACGTAGAAGAGGACCAGGAGGTTGAGAGTGATGGCGGCCGCCAAAGCAGCCTGGCAGCGGGTGAGCCGCATGGGGCTGGCCTTAGGCCCTAGCTGGGCCTCCTGGCATCCTGGAGAGGGGGAAAGAAAGGAGTGGCTGGAGCTGGTTGTCAGACCCTCCCCGCCCCCCGCAAGCCTTGCCTTCTCCCCACCCCTTTTCCCTATCTGATTTCAGCTATGACATTACCTCCTCCAGGAAGCCCTCCGTTGCCTCCCAGGCTGGGTCATGGTCCCTCTCTGGGCTCATTTACTCTCCTGGTTCTTCCTACCCCAGTCCCTCTACTTTGAATAATTACTGTCTAAGGATGGCTCTGTATCCCCCACTGGATCACATGACCCATGGATGCAGACCCTGGGCCTGTCTTAAGTCACTGTTGGCTCCCAGCACCACTCAGCACAGGGCCAGGTACATATTAGGTGCTCAGTAAAAGCCTTTTTCAAATGAATCACCTTCCCTTCGCCCTTGTTCAATTCCACTCTTTCCGTCTTCTTTGTCAACTTTTCATTCAGGTTCAGTTATAAATATCCTCCACCCATCCCCAAGCCCAAATTTCACCTTGTTCTCTACCATTGCCTCCTCCGGGAAGCCACCCCTAATCTCCTCCTCCCTTCCCTTGAACACCCTGGTCACCTCCAGGGCCAAGCTGATGTTGTACCCTTGAGCTTTGGCCACCAAACCCTTCCTCCACTGAAGATACCTAAATCCTGTATCATTAGGTCATCTCCTTCCTGATGGTCAGCCAGATGGCTTTGGTTTTGCAAGCAAAGCCAGAAAAATCATTCTTTACAAATCACATCTCTCCCAATTTTTAGATGTTGGCAGCTACTTAAAAATTAAAAAAATTAAAAAATCACAAACATGGAGTGAGAAACATCAAAAGGGGTGGCCAACCTTAGGGCATTCCCTTCCATTCTTGGCCACACTCCCAAATGACCCCCAGATGGTGCTGTCTTCCTGTTCTCCACCTTGGCTTGAAGATTTGGCTGGTCTCCCAGCAGGGGGGTGTAACTCTCTTGGTTCCCTGTAGATACTCAAAAAAGTTTCCACATGAAGGAGCCAGTGGAGCCCTGGTGGCGCAGTGGTTAAGCGCTCAGCTACTAAACAGAAGGCTGGAGGTTCGAACTCACCAGCCACTGCATGGGAGAAAGATGTGGCAGTCTGCTTTGTATAAAGATTACAGCCTTGGAAACCCTATGGGGCAGTTCTACCCTGTCCTATAGGTTCAGTATGAGTTGGAATCGACTCCATGGCAATGGGTTTGGGTTTGACCCCTCCCAGGGAGAGGGGATATCAGAGATCCAGCCAATCACCAAATCGTTGTACTTTCTAAATACTTTTGACCCCTCCTCCTCATCCCCACAGCTCCCCCTGCCCCTGGGGCCCTCTAGGTCCCCACCCAACCTCCTCCTGGTCTCCTGCCCCAGTCCTGTCCCTGCATAGTCTCCCTCCTCATGGCAGCCAGAGGGGTCTTCCTAAAGCACACATCTGACCTGTCCCTCCCCTGCTCAGAACCTGCCAGAGTTCCCCAGTTCCTTGGGAGGAAAGTTTAAGCATCTTACACCATCCCACAAAGCTTTGTGTGACCTGACCCTTGCCCGCCCACCATTTCTGCCTCACCTCCTGCCATGCCCCCCTCAACTCTGTGCCTCAGCCAGCCTAGACTTTTCTTTTCTTCTGACATGTCTTGTGTCTAAACCTTTGCATATTCTGTTCCCTCTATCTGGAAGAGTCTCCTTTCCTATACCTTCTTCCCACACCTCTTCTCTTGGAGAACGACTTCTGCTTCAGGACTCAGCTCAGATGTCTCCATCTCCAGAAAGGCTTCCCTTACCCCCAGGCTGAGTCAGGCCCCCCCTCTGGGTCTCCTAGCCCCGGGGTTCCCCCATCCCAGCCCTGTCCACTCTTGGTAGTTACTGTCTGGGGACAGGTCTATTTCCACTGATGGACTGTGAGGCCTGGAAAGGTAGGGTCAGTGCTGTCTCAGTCACCTCTGTGTCCCCAGAATACAGCTGGGAACTGAGAATGCACTTGGCAAAAAAACAATGGCCAAGGTCTGTAAAGCCAATGCGGCTGCGTCCCAGGTGCCCAGCTCTGCCCATAATGCCCTATGCCTGGGCCCTGCCCTAGTTTTCCTGCCTCCTCTCGTTCCTCCCACCAGGAGTCACCTCCCACTCCTCTTTACTCATCCCAGTCCTGCTTGCCCTTCCTTGATCCAAATCAGACAGCACTTAAGAATCTGAATTGCACTTTAGGAGCGATTTTCTAATCTTTAAACAAACAAACAAAAACAGTTGCCGTCAAGTTGATTCCAATTCATGGTGACCCCATGTGTGTCACAGTAGAACTGTACTCCATGGGGTTTTCAATGGCTGTGATCTTTTGGAAATAGATCACCAGGCCTTTCTTCTGAGGTGCCTCTGGGTGGATTCAAACTGCCAGCTTTTATGGTCAGCCTCCAAGCACTTAACCTTTTGTACCATCCAGGGACTCTTAAACCAAAAAACTGAACCCATTGCCGTCGAGTCGATTCCAACTCACAGTGACCCTACAGGGCAGAGTAGAACTGCCCCACAGGTTTCCAAGGAGTGTCTGGTGGATTCGAACTGCTGACCTTTTGGTTAGCAGCTGAGCACTTAACCACTCTTATAATCCCATTTGGGAATGGGTTTTTTTTGTTATGTTAATGAGGCAGGATTAGTGAAGGCTATGTCTTGAGTCAATCTCTCCTGAGATATAAAAGGAGATCAGACAAGCAGAGATGGGGGGAAGATAGATGCCACATCCCATAAAGTTTGCCAAGGAGCCAATCTTCTCCTGAAAGATGCTGAAAAGAGACAAGGACCTTCCCCAGAGCTGACAGAGAAAGCCTTCCCCTAGAGCCAGCCCCCTGAATTTGGACTTCTAGCTTCCTAAACTGTGAGAGAATAAATTTGTTTGTTAAAGCCACCCACTTGTGGCATTTCTGTTATAGCAGCACTAAGTTACTAAGACAGGGATATAGCAGTGGACACCACAGGGACAGTAGGCAACACCCCTGCCCTGGAGAGCTGACATCATTGTGAGGGGAAGACCCTTTGGAATCACGGGATCTTCAGAGTCTTATAATCTTACCGTCTAGGTTTTTAGAAGCACAGACTGGCACACCCTTAGATAGTTTGAGAATCTTCAAATCCCTGGAGGTCCGAGCAAGGGACCACCCTCCTGCTCCAACCCTCAGCCCCAACAGTCTGTTCCCAGAGGGGCCCTGTTACAACCGGGGTGAGATCCTCTCCCTCCTCTGCTCGAGCCCTCCGTGACTCCTGCCCGACTCAAGAGGAAAAGCCTCACTGTGGCCCACGAGGCCCTGCGTGACCCATCCCGTTCCCTCCCTCACTTCCTTCACCTCCCACTCTCTCCCCCTCACTCACTAGGCTTCAGCCACAGTACTCTCCATATGCCATTCTTCAAACAGACCTGGGACACACCTGGAATGCTCTTCCCCCAGGTACCCACCTGGCTCCTCCCTCACGGCCTCAGGTCTTTACGCAGATCTCACCTGTCCAGTCAGCCCTTCCTTTGGTTACCCTGTTTAAAAATGCATCTCCCTATCCCCAACATAAGGAGCTCTGGTGGTGCAGTGGTTAAGTGCTGGGCTGTTAACCAAAAAGGTGGGCGGTTCAAACCCACCAGCTGCTCCAAGGGAGAAAGATGTGGCCGTCTGCATCCGTAAAGATGACAGTCTTAGAAACCCTGTGGGGCAGTTTTACTCTGTCCCATAGGGTTGCTGGAGCCCTGGTGGCGCAGTGGTTAAGAGCTACGGCTGCTAAACAAAAGGTCAGCCGTTAAGTTCAAACTTAAGCCTATCAGTGTGGAGATATAAAAAGAGATTAGGTACAGACAGGGAAGGACCAACAGGGAAGATAGATACCACAAGAAAATCACCACGGAACCCAGGACCAGAAGTTCAACAAGACAAAGATCTTCCTCCAAAGCCCACAGAGAGAGCCTCCCGCTAGAGCCAGCATCCTGACTCAGACTTCTAGCCTCCTGAACTGTGAGACTAGGCAGCATTTTGTTCTGCTGTGTATAAGGTCGCTGTGAGTCGGAACTGACTCAACAGCATCTAATGATAATAAACTTTGAGAAAATAAATTTCTGTTTGTTAAAGCCACCCACTTGTGGTATTTCTATTACAGTAGCACTAAGAAACTTAGACTCTGGATCTGTCCTGGCAAGGTAAGAAGAAAAAAAAAATACTCTGGTGTCGAGTCGATTCCCACTCATAGTGAACCCATAGGGTTGCCAAGGCTGTAAATCTCTATAGACGCAGACTGCCACATCTTTCTCCTGAGGAGCTGCTGCTGGTTTCAAACCATCGACCTTTCAGTTAGCAATAGATTGCTTTAACCACCGCACCACAGATAGGGAGGAAAACAGAGGGCCATGATAGAGAACGAGGGGCTTGGTTTAGAAAAGGTGGTCAGGGAAAGAGGACAGTTAAGCAAAGACCTTATTTGTCTCCCCATTTCCCACAAAACATTGTAAGTGGATCCCGATTCACTTCAGGCCTGGGTTCCTGGGTCTGAGCTTTGATCTGGCCTGAGCCTCAGTTGCTGCATCTGTAGGATAGGAATGTGAGGGTAGAGAAAATGAGAGGTGTGTGGGAAAGTCTTTGAAGATGAAGAAAGGGCAGTTTCTATGCAAGTGATGGAAGCATTGAGGGACTTCTTACCTCCTACGTTGCAGGGTAGGGGGATTTCCGGGGGGCTGTTCCAGCCCATCTCAGCTGCAGCGCTGTGGGAAGGCGAACCAGAGAACCCCCAGTCAGCCAATTCTGCAGAATAGGCCACCCGAAAACCAAAAACCAAACCCATTGCTGTAGCATCGATTCCTACTCATATTGACCCTATCACCCTATAGGACAGAGTAGAACTGCCCCATAGGGTTTCCAAGGTGTACATCTTTACAGAAGCAGATTGCCACATCTTTCTTCTGCGAAGCCACTGGTGGGTTCGAACTACCGACCTTTCGGTTAGCAGCCGAGCACTTAACCGCTGTGCCACCAGGGCCCCTTAGTATAGAGCACGGTTTCATGTTATCTACAAAAGTGGTAACAGGAGGATGCGGAAATCATTTCTCTGGATGCTCCATAAGCTCGGGCACCACCTGGAGCATCTCAGGAGGGAGGCAGGGTGGAGTGGGAAGGATGTCAGTTACCATAGCAATCTGTAACCTCCCTCCTCATGAATGTGTCCAGAAAGGTGGGGTTAGAAGTGACAGAAGCTGTTACCATGACAACCCCTTCCCTAGGCATGTTCCACCTCAAGAGACAATCCTAAAATGTCCCATACCTTGGTGGGCCTGGTTCTAGGGTCACTGGAAGGGGGCAGCCCCTGTTACCATAGCAACCAGGGCTTGGCCTTGCCTGTTTCTCACCTCCCTGGGGATGGTCCAGGCCCTGTAACCATAGTAACTGCTCCTCAGCAGAGCATCTCTTCCTCTAAATAAAAACACCTGGTTGGTTTGGCCCAGGGGCCTCCCACAAAGGGAAAGAGGGTGATGGTTACCATGGTAATTCCAACTGGGTGGTGTGGGGGAGGGGTTGAGGAAAAGGTGCTTCTCAACCATCAATCTCCTTGAGGCCTGGGGTCTTTTCTACCTGAGTGCTAGGTGAGGGAGATTGCCATAGTAACCGAGGTTGTTAGGGGCAGAAGGACCATCAGGGACTAAGGTTACCTTAGCAAACTCCTCCAGGGTGGGGATAGGAGAGGTGCGGGGGTCCATAACCACAATGGTGGAGGGGAGGGGAGATGGGGGGGGCTTTAGGCTGGGGAAGGGTTACCATGAGAACCGACCTGGGCCAGGAACCAGAGAGGATGGGGCCAAGGCTGAAACCACCCCTGTGGTTGCTTTTTCTCTCAAAGAGAGAAAGTGATTGTCCAGGGGACTAGGGTTCGGGGCTGGAGAGGGTAAGAAGCTTTCTGTTGGGCGACGCGGAGGAGGGAGCAAAAAGTGGCCCCTCCCAAAGAGTAGCTTCTCCGAGGGGGGAGCCTTGCTTCCCGCCCACCCCCGCGCGCGCGCCTCCGGGGTCGACCAGGGTGGGCGAGGCGCGCGCCCGGCCTCACTCTCGTTAGCT